CTCCTCCTCCTTTTCCTTCTCCTTCTCCTTCTTCTCCTTTTTCCTTCTCCTTCTCCTTCTCCTCCTCCTGTTCCTTCTCCTCCTCCTGTTCCTTCTCCTCCTCCTTTTCCTTCTCCTCCTCCTTTTCCTTCTCCTCCTTTTTCCTTCTCCTCCTCCTTTTCCTTCTCCTCCTCCTTTTCCTTCTCCTCCTCCTTTTCCTTCTCATTCTCCTCCTCCTCCTTCTCCTTTTTCCTTCTCCTTCTCCTCCTTATTTTTCCTTCCTCTTCTTCTCCTTTTTCCTTCTCCTCCTCCTCCTCCTCCTTCTTCTCTCCTTCTCCTCCTCAACACTTCCAGGGACAGAGAATCCACAACTTCCCTGGGCATCCCAATCCAGCCTCATCCCACCCTTATTGTAAGGAATTTTCCTCTTTATGTCCAACCTAAACCTTCCCCCTTCCCATTTAATTCCCTCCCCCCCTCATCCCATCACTCCAGGCCCTCCTAAAACGTCTTTCCCATATTCCCACAGGACATTCCCACAGGACATTCCCAGCCCCAGCTCCGAGAGCAGCTCAGCAACTATTTATTCCTCCAGAAACTTCCTTCTACTCCAAAAAGCTTTAACTGGAGGGGGGGAAAGGGCTTCCCAAGGGCAAACAAATTCCAGAATCCCAGTTTTTTGCTGAGAACAGCAAGACTCTGGAATGTGGGCTCAAGGGAAGCAGGTGTCTCTTGGGATAGATGGAAAACAGGGAGGAAAACGGGAGTAACAGGGAAAGAAACTGCTGCAGGATCCCAGGAAAAGCTGCTCCCATTTATCGACTGGGAATTGGTTGGGAATCTCTTTTCTCTCCTCAGTGTCCATCCATTGGAATTGGGATGGTTTGAGTTTTCATGGAAGCAGGAAGGACCAACTGTGGAATGTAAATTTTTTCTCAGTAGGAAAAGCAGCTCCACATGGATTAATCCAAGGATATCCCAAGTCCTGGGATATCCCAGGATATCCTGGGGGTTAATGACCCCCCACAGCAAAATGGGAGCGAGGAGGTGTCGGAGACCATTGGGAATTGCAGGATCCAGCTCGGAAATTCCCAACATCTGAAGGACGTGGAGCTGCTGGAGCGAGTCCAGAGGGGACACGGAGATGCTCCAAGGGCTGGAGCCCCTCAGCTCTGGAGCCAGGCTGGGAATGCTGGGAATGTTCACCTGGAGAAGGGAAACTCCAGGGAGACCAGAGAACCCCTTCCAGGGCCTAAAGGGGCTCCAGGAGAGCTGGAGAGGGACTGGGGATAAGGGATGGAGGGACAGGACACAGGGAATGGCTTCCCACTGCCAGAGGGTTGGATGGGATATTGGGAAGGAATTCTTCCCTGGGAGGGTGGGGAGGGGCTGGGATGGAATTCCCAGAGAAGCTGTGGCTGCCCCATCCCTGGAAGTGTCCCAGGCCAAGTTGGAGCAACCTGGGATAGTGGGAGGTGTCCCTTCCATGGAATTCCATGATCTTTCTGCTCCCTTCCCACCCAAACCATTCCATGATTCTATGAACGACCCCATCAGCTCCTGGAAACGGGAACGTGGCTTTTCCTTTCCCGTTTCCAAGGGATACAACCAACCCCCCACGAGACCACAAATATTTGCCCACGTGAAAACATTCCCATGGATCCAGCTGCAGTTGGGAAGGAGGGAGGAACTTTGCTCCCCGACCACTTTGGACTTTTCCCTGCTTGGAAAGGTTGAGAAACAAATCCATGTGGTAAATATTTGGATTAGGAATGTGGTTTGGATGTTCAGCTGGACCAGCACCGCTCAGCAGAGCTTTTCTGGGATTCCGTGTTGATCCAGGGATCTGGATTTGTCCCAGTTTAGTGCAGTTACAGCCCCAACATTCCCACCTTGCAGGACCTGGGGAATCCATGGCTCTTCCTTCCTGGCAGCTCCACGATATCCCAACACCTCCTCTGACCTGCATGGAAGAGTCATCCCAAAGTTTTCCAGGACCACCATGAATTTTGGGATACCAGTATTCCTGGAGGCCCCAGGGAGTCTCCAGTTCCTCTGCCCCTTCCA